ACTCAGACTGAGGCTGAACTCTGTCAGCATGAGATCAGCTGTAAGTCACTTCTTACACAGAGCCTCTGAATACTCAGCGAGGACTAAGAGAACACGCTCGTCGTGTTGTTATCCTGATATCTCGTCTGTGGCCAGTTTGGACAAACTGCAAACAGAGCAGCTCAGTGCGGCTCGAAAAACTTTTCTATCTGGCTTCACTGAGCGCGTGCATCTTTATGATGAATCAAAGATGTGGAGGATGCTGAGTCCTCTGACTTTGGTGTGGCGGTCAGGTGAAAGGTCAGATACATAGATGTGACAGCGAGATGCGTCCAGGCAGCGATCACAGTTCAGAGAGACGACAGACACGCAGCTTCCTGCGAGGCTTCCAAAATGCAAATGATGAGATCGCACAGCAATAAAAAAACAAAGTGCAGACGGTACAACAGCATCAGTGATCAGTGCTGCCTCTCTCTGCCTTCATGCAGCGGCTGGCTGTGACGGAGCTTTGACGGGTGGTGCTCTCGTCTTTGTTCACACCCACAGTCACTGATGGATTTAATGCAGAGCAGGCGTCAGCAGACGAGCGGCCCTGTGCTCATTTTCAAAAGTCCTCCACTTTTTATAAACCTGTTGTGTTGGACAGTCACACCAAAGCATGCGACGACCACACTGGAGCTAATGTGCTGCTGCAGCACAGCGGCGCAGTGGTCCTGACAGGACCGCACTGCCGCTCCCTGGGATCCAGGGGGAGGACGGGGGGAGGGTGGGTGAGTGACAGGCTTCATCAAGGCCACTCCTGCTTCCCAGACTGCCCCTCCACCCAACAGAATAACCAAGGGTGGTGGTGGGGGGTAAATGTAGGTCAGTAGCTGGTTGGGGCCGATTCCTGCTGCTGACTGTCTGGAGCAGATTTACTGTCAGTGTCCTCCATAAACAATAAAGAAAGGAATGAAGCAAAGATTTGTTCAGGGAAAATGTTTTGAAATGATATCAGCTTTGACTCCAGGACACAGGATCCTGGGTGGATTCTTCAAATAATCCTGTTTTGTGTTCACAGCGATTCGTCTTTGGGGAGTTTTTCCTGATGAAGCCCAAACGCAGCCTCAGCTTAAAGCTTCTACCTTCATTTGCATTGCAGA